GCATGAAGTCTCCACTGCATATCACCCTGGTTGGCATTCCCCTGTGTTACTGATCCCTCACTTCCCTCATGGGCCATGAATTGAATTTAAAGGGGAATAATTTAATTTCATCATTGTCATCATCATCCCATTCTGCTCTCAACATAATCCAGCAGGGCAAAGCCTGGGACAACTGGGAGGAACAGATATCCACAGATGTGAGGACCTATCTGGACAGGGCCCCTCGTGACAGAGCTAGAGTGATAAGTGCACATCCTGGAGAAAAGCCCAAGAGAGAAAAGATACAAAGAAAGGAGGAGGATGGGAAAAAGGAAGAGGGGAAGCTTGCTCTTAATTTAATCAGTCCAGGGAGGCAGGGAGGCAAGGGCTGGGTTAGGAATGTAAAGATGCAGGGTTCCCTCCCTAGTCCTCCTATCCCTTGCCCAGTGAGGGGCATGCTCAGTTTCATATATTCTGCATAATCTATTCCCTGTCTCAGGGCAGAGACTGGGTGTGGAGAGGCTTACACTTGATAAAGTTTCTGTGACGTCTAAAGCACATAATGAGGAAAACCTGCATTATTTTTCCTTCCCCAAGGCAATCAGGAGCAGTAGGGACCTGAATTCCTGGACATTCTGAGTCCTGACTCTGTCATGTGTGTGTGGGGGGGGGTAGGTTGTGCAAAATATTCCCATTTTACAGATGAGGAAAGGCTCAGGGAAGTGGGTTGACCTGCCAAACACACTTGGGATTTGAGCCTAGGTGAATGGGTTCCTGTAAATATTTAATTTAAGTGCCAGACCTGGGATTTGGTCCCAGTTCTCCTTATTGCAAACCTGGCAGTCTTTCCACTACATCACACTTCCTAATCCTGGTTTGTCATTAACCCTGCAACCATGGATGGCCCCAGTACCCCCCACATCGTGTCCAGGGACTCAGGCCACTCTTGTTCTTTCTCTCCTTGGGGAAGAAACATCCTGCGCGAGTTTCCTGCTCTACAAAACTCTCTACAGAGATTGAGGAGGTCAGGGAAAGGAAAGAGATGTGACAGATGCCCTCAATTAAGGCTTGAGATTGTGAAACCCAGAAGAAGAGGGAGGCAGCTATCTGGGTTTCATATAATCTACTACTTGCTCAGGGCAAAATGCAGTGGAAACCAAGCAACATCTCCTAAAAGTCCCATACCCATGCTTGATTAATCCCACAACTTTATATTAATTGCCTCCTGTGCTTGGTGTTAGTGGAAGAATAAAAAAATGACACAGTACCTGTCCTCAAGGCAGCTAGATGGCTCAGTGGATAGAGCACTGGGCCTGGAGTCAGGAACACCTGAGTTCAAATGCAATCTCAGACACTTACTGACTGTGTGACCCTGGGCAAGTCACTTGACTTCTGTTTGTCTTAATCCACTGGAGAAGGAAATGGCAAAACCATTCCAGTATCTTTGCCCAAAACAAACAAAAAACCATGGACCCATGGTCCATGGGGTCACAAAGAGTCAGACACTACTGAGTGACCTGTCCTCAAAGAGCTTCCTAGGCCCTCCAGTTCACTTCGAACACACCTCAAGACAGCCTCCCCCTCTATCTATGTGACCCTAGGCAAGTCACTTAACTGCTGTTTGCCTCAGTTTCTGTATCTGTAGAATGAGGATAACAACACTACCTACTTTGAAGAGTTGTGAAGACAAAATAAGGTAAGACTCATAAAGTACCTAACACAGTGCCTGGCACTTAGTAGGCACTATAAAAATACTAATCCTCTTCCCCTTCCCCAGTTAGAGCAGCCCCCCAGAGTGTTACCAACATGCAAGCCTGTGGGCTGTGTTTGACACCTCCATACTAATTAAGCCTGTGCTGCATCACCAGGTGGGGGTGGGGTGGAGAACCTCCACATTAAAATAGGAAAAAAATCTCTCTTCTCTGTCTTGAAATCACAAGATGACAGAGCTGGAAGGACCTTTAGAATGCAACCCTCCAGAAAACAAAACAAAATAAAACAAAAGACAGATTACAGGAATCAGGACTAGAAACTAGATCTTTTGGATTTCTAGTACATTGGGTTTTCTACTTCATTACCCTTCTCCACCTGGTCTCAACCTCAGTTCAGACTCCTGCTAGCTATGGCTTCAGATTGTGGGAGGCATCTTGGAAGTATGGAAAAAGTACTGAATTTAGAATCCAAGGATCTGGGTTCACATCTAGCCTCGGTGACGTTTATTACCTATGTGAACTTGGAGAAGTCTTTCACCTCTCTAGGTCTCAGTTTCCTTGTCTGTAAAATGTAAGACGTGGAATATTTGACTTTAAAGCTCCTCCAGCTCTAAAGATCCTATATACAGCATCACTAGGGAAGACTCAAGAGGTAAGGGAGGATTGAAGAACATCCTTAGATGTCTCAGCCTTAGACACAGAGGCATTGCTGTGCATTCATTTCAATTGTGTCTGACTCTTTGTGACCCCATTTGGAGTTTTCTTGGCAAAGATACTGAAGTGGTTTGCCATTTCCTTCTACAGGTCAGTTTACAGATGAGGAAACTGGGGCAAACAGGGTTAAGTGACTTGCCCAGGGTCACTCAGCTAGTAAGTGTCTGAGGCCAAATTTGAACTCAGGAAGATGGTTCTTCCTCACTCCAGGTCCAGCTGCTCTATCCACTATACCACCTAGCAAAAAGATACCCCAGAGGTATCTTTCCCCAACCCCCAAACTCTATAGGAGAGCTAGACTGCAGCACTTGAGTTACAGGAATTAAGGCAAAGTGATTATTAAGTACTCACTCTACCTTCTGACAAAAATGTGACTTTCTACTCAACATATCTATGGCTGCCCCTCTCTAGTTTGAATAACTGGGATTCTCCAACATTTACCCTCACTCCTGCTAACCGGAATAGACTCGGACTGAGAAGAACCTTTTTGCTCAGGAACTAAGGAGAGTAAAGGAAGGGTCTAGAATTCTACAGAACCAGCTATTCCAGAGGTGCACATCAAGCGAAGAATGGCTAAACAAAGTGTAGCACATAAATATGATGCACAATGTCTGGGCCACAAGGAATGATGACTACATGAGGAATACAGAGAACCGTGGAAAGACTTACATTAACCAATGCAAAGCGAAACGCAGGATAACGAAAACAATATAGCATGTAACGGAAATTTAAGTAATAAAACAAAACTGAACACTGAATAATAATTTTGATGACCAAGGCTGGCACTAGAAGAAGCAATGAGAAAATGCTCCTTCCCTCTTTCTTTGCAGAAATGGGGAGGAATGTGGGTTGAGAGCACTCACTGCAAAGAGTGTCAGACTAAGTTGATACACTGCTTAGTTTATCTGAACTCTCTTATTTGTTGCTTTCTTTTTAATTTTTTGTTACACAAGGTGGCTCTCTGGTTAGGCAAGAGGAAAAGAAAACACAAAGTTTGAAGGTGAAGGGCGTAGGATCTCTGATCAGATCATCCTCAGCCTGAGACATGTCCACAAATGTTCTGGGGCAGCAGGTGTGAACCCTGTGTGCCCTGGATGCCTCCAGCTCATGGCCTGGGAATGAGTCACAGGTGTGCACGTGTACGTGGGGGGAAGGGGAGAAGGGGAAGGTGTTCCATTCCAAGAACCAGTCCAGCAGCTCTAGCAGGCACCAGCACTGACGAAATTATTTGGTTCAGTGCCCCTCCCCCTGCCAGCTGCAGGGTGCCAGGGGTCAAATCTGAACTATCCCCTAAACAGCAGAAAAACAAGAAGACAGTCCTCTATCTAGTTTGGGGATGTGGAGTCCTCGAGAGCTAGACTTTTATCTCAAACCCCACCCTTCCCTGTTGCCCCATCCGCTCATAGGTTGTCTCTTTAATCAGTCTGTCCCTGGGGATTAAGTGTGTATACTGGGGGGAAGGGGAGGAAGGGGGATGGTCCAAGAATTAGGTTAATTGTTTACTTCCTTGTCCCCACCTACCTCTCACCAAAAAGATTAACTTAATCTAATTGTTGGGCTGTATCTGACATAGATGGCAGTAGGATTTTGGGAACCAAGCAAAGAGGATGGTCAGCGAGGTGTGTAGTTTCAGGAGAGGTTTTCAGATACACAGATGCTATTTAGCCGAATCCCTTAATATGATTTAAAAAAAAAGCCCCTGTCTACTGTTTACTCCTGACAGCTCTCTTTCCTCAGAGGGTTGGTGGGGTGTCCTGGGAATCCTTCCCCAACTAGGAGCAAAACCCCAAGAAAAGGTCCTGTCACTTTGAGGCAGGGGAAAAGGTGAAGCAGCTGGCACACTCCACTCCTGACAGGCAGAGGCAGAGAGGTCTAGGTCTGGCTCTGCCCTTCACATGGGAAAAGCAGCAGTTCCCAGGGCTGGAGAGATTCAGAGATTAGTCACTAAAGGCAGGCTGGCCCTAGTCAGCCCTAACTTCTCTAGTTCCAGCTGCTGCTGCCCGAAATCTGAAATCAACAGGATTAGGAAACCTTGGCTGCGGGGAGGGGCAGGGGCAGGGAATTGAATGTAGAGGAGAGATGGAGAAGGCTCATCATTCCATTGCCCACCTGTGCAATTGATTTGTCCATCTGGAAATGCAGGGAAAGAATGTCCTTGAAGGTCACTCTGCCTCCCAAATGAATCTTGTAAGAGTTGTTAGAAAGGGGAAGGATCAGTGACATCTTACAGTTCCCATCAATAAAATACTAAGTTACTGATTTACTACGGGCCCCTAAATAAATCCACTGGGTCTAGCTATAACCAGAGCCAAGGGAGGGGGGGAAAGTAGGGTGTAGGGAAAGGAAGAAGAATAAGGTATAGAAAGAAGATCCCAATGTAGGAGGAAGACAGTCTACCAAGATCATAGTTTCACTATTTTAATAACTTAATACAGACAAATACTAAAAAGAATTACTGTTGTTAATAATAAAGGACAGACATGGCTTTCTTTTTGTAAAGGGGAGGAACAGGGTAGGAGGGGAAGTTTCCCTTGAGAATTTCACACACATTAAAAAAAAATAGAGACTATTTATTGTGAACTGAAGTCCTTAGAAAACAAACCCTTAGGGTCTGAAATATAGACTAAAAATTTAAAATTCAGGAGGAGGGAGTTCAAGTTCAACCTTGTGTCCATTTTCCAAACTTCACCCCTTCCACACAAAACCATCCTGATTTTTTTTCAAACCTAGAAGGAAAAAAGTAGGAGTAGGGATGAGGTAGAGTCACATTTGAATTTTGAGTCCACAGCTCCATCAGCCTCCACTTTACATAATGGGAGACTGAGTGGGGAAGGTGGTGTTACAAAATCTTAACCCCTCAGAAGGCATTCAAAAAGGAAGTATAAAGAAGGTTCTTTTCCAATGCTCCTGTTCTTGGAGGCTGGGAGCTCCTGGTCCTTCATAAAAAGAGCAGAGGGGCACACAGGGCCCTAGAATCCCAGAATAGGTGGGGTCATCACAGGTCTCTGGCTTCACCACCTCTTCCTCCCAGTTCCAGCCCAAGACACCTTCTTTCTTTTGAGAATCATCTCATAAAGTCTCTCCAGCCCAGGCTGCAGTCCCAGTCCATCCACTGCACTGCAGCCCTGAACGTAGGTGAGAGTGGCAGCGGCCAGCTCTTTGAGGGCTAGCCGCTTCTCCACTTCTGCTGCACTCAAAGCCCCAGGCTGGTCCTGCTTGTTGGCCAGCACCAACACAGGCACGCCTTGGTTGTCCGAGGCCCGGCTGATCCGGTGGAGTTCTATCTTAGCCTCTTCCAACCGCTCTGCCTCAGTGGCATCCACTACAAACACCATCCCATCAGTTCTCCGTGTGTAGGACCGCCACAATGGCCGCAGCTTCTCCTGGCCTCCTACATCCCACACTTGAAAGGTGATGGCCCTAGACCCTCCCACGGGCATTCGAATTTTCTCTGTATTGAAGCCCTTGGTGGGTACACTCTGGACAAACTCTTTGAATTTGAGCCGGTACAGTAGGGAGGTCTTTCCTGCTGAGTCCAGTCCGATGACCACCACGTGCAAGGCCTGGAAGTGGGGCAGGAAGACAGAGGCATTCGGTGCCATCTCTGTAAGGTGATTTCCCATGGTATGATGGCAGCTTGTGTCTTAGTTCTTATTGACTCAGGGCAGTGCTGGTGAGGAAGTTTCTTAGCAAGATTACGATAGCGGTCGGAGCTGGGTTATCTGAAAAGGGAAAGACAAGGATGCAGGGTAGCACGGAATATACAGGCAGAAAGACATCTTACCTGTCTTCCCTTCTCTCCTTCCCTCTCATTAATTTCTCTGCAGCCCACGGCATTCTTCAGTCAAAAAAAAATCCTAGTTTAAAGTTCTCCCCTCCCCTCCAAATTTTAGTTTGCTCTTTTATTTTTATGGGAAGGGAGGGGGTGAAGAAGGGCAGAGCGGAGAGGAGACCCTCCTGCACACACTATCACCCAGCGCTTCAAAACTTGAGTGAATACCGGGACTAGGACTGAGTGGCATGTGAATTCGAGGGGAAGAAGAGACGAGGTGCCAAGGGAGGGGTCGCTGGGACCCTAGTCGCCGAGCATGTGACTTGGAGCAGCCTCCGGAAACCCTCCCCCACCCCTAATTAGGGGATGCTCCCGGGACTAGAAGGATTCCCTCCCCCAACTCGAGGTGCCAAGATTTAAAGCCCAGCAGCCTATTCCCCGTTAAGTCCTGCCGGCGCTCCTCCAATCATCCTTCCCTCCCTCCTGTTACCGCCCGGGCGCGGATGAGTTCCCCATCCCCTGGCGCTCAAAGGTTGAGAAAGCTTCGTCCTATCAGCATGACAACCTCTCCGTACCTTTCTTCAGCTACTGGGAGGAACCGCGCTCTCCAGCCTAGATCCGGGTCCGGGTCCCGTTCAGGGCCCGGGCCCTCTCGGAAGGTATCGCTCTGCGCTGCCGCTCTGCTCTGCTTGCGAAGGGTTTGCGAGACCCAAGCCTTAAAAACCCGCAATATGACGTCACAGTGACATCAGCCAATCAGCGATCCAGGAGGCGGCTCTAGTTGTCAGCATCTGGACGAGCCCCGGGATTCTCCTGCTGCTTGGGCCTGGGAGAGGGAGTGAAATGAGGGTTTATAGCCGCGCTTTCCATCACCTACCCGTTCCCCTCCCCCGCGTCCCCAATTTTCCTTTTTAATTTCCTTTTTTCCTTTCCAGATTTTAATACCGAAAACTAAGTTAGGGGATAAAGGAGCTCCATAAGAGGGATACTTTTGGCAGAATTGACAACCCAGGAAGGGAGGGTGTCTTAGAAGCTAGAAAAATTCTGCCACCAGTGCAGCATGTCTCCTCTTCTAGTCTTCCTAGATCTCTTCAGGGAAAGACACTCCTCATTTTCTCTGGTCGGTACTTCCAGATTCTCACACCTCAGTCTGTCCTCATTCCGAGCAGGGAAGTTCTTTCCTATGTCTAACCTACCTCCTTGCAGTAACATCAGAAACTTTTCAACTATTGAAATGATGGGATTTCACTCTCTATGTGCCAAAGGTATTTGTTTCGTGATAAATCGTGTGTTAGAGTGAAGGCTGTCTCTTCTCATCCCAACATTTTTGTCTAGGATCATAGGTTTAGATCTTCAAGGAAGCTTAGAACCCTTCTAGTTCAACCTTTTCGTTTTGCAGGAAAGGGAACGGAAGCCTAGAGGGGAAATGGCTTACCCTAAGTGATATATATATATGTATATATATATATATATATATATATATATATATATATGTGTATATATATGTATATGTATGTATATGTATATGTATATGTATATGTATGTATATGTATATGTATATGTATATGTATATGTATATGTATATGTATATGTATATGTATATGTATATGTATATGTATATGTATATGTATATGAAGTGAGGAGGACCTGAACTAACTTTAAATTTTATCGAAAAGTCTTATCAGAGACAGTTTATTAATCTCCATGCATTCCAGCTGAGATAGAAACAGACAAGAGACACACACAAAGACCCAGAGTTTTCCCATTTATTGAAAAATCTCCTTGACACAAGTCACACCCACTTTTTTTACCATAAAAAACAAAATTCCATAATAAGATAAGACAAAGCTAGAAAGCACAGTTTTAGGGGTTCTGATTTGGTTAAATAAAATAGCAATAGCAATGTCAGTACATCCTTGGAGAAATGTGAAGTTAAGTAGTTAAGTCAGTAAGCATTTTTTAAGTGCTTACTCTATGCTAAACACTGTGTTAAGCACTGGAGGTTCAAAGAAAGGCAAACAAACAAGGAACTCAAACTGAATGAGGGAGACAACACGCAAATATTTCTGTACAAACAAGATATAAACAGAATAAATTGGAGGTAATCACAGAGGAAAGGCACTAGCATTAAGGGGTATGAGGAAACGCTTCTTGTAGAAGGTGAGATTTTAGCTGGGCTTGAAGGAAATATCTTTCTGAAATCATTCAGTCTGGTGAAGGGAGAACAGAGAGGTTCTGCTCTATTTGGATTAATCAAAAGACTGCTATTTTTTAGTTTGGGCACTATTCTCATCTTAAATTCAGGGAATCAATATTTCCCCCCTCAAAACTTTATTGTCTTCCTTTAAAAACTGTTTTCAGAACAGTACATTGCCTTTCTGGAATTTGATTAAAAGTACTGATATGGTTTTCCATTCAGGTGAGATCAAGGACTTTAGCCCAGATCACTTACATAATGCTATTTCTTTTTTTTATTTTGAATCCCAAGTTCTCTCTCTCATTCCAGCCACCCACCCACCCATTGAGAAGGCAAGCAATAATGTCAATTATATGTCTGAAATAATGCAAAACATATTTCTATATTAGCCAAAAGAGCAAGAAAAATAAGTGAAAAAAATTATACTTCATCTGCACTCAAAGTCCACCAGTTCTCTCTTTGGAAGTAGATAGCATTTTTCATCATGAGTCCTTCAGAATTGTCTTGGATCATTGCATTGATCAGATTAAACAAGTCTTTCACAGCTGATCATCTTTACAATATCTCCTGATTTTTGTCACTTCATTCTGTTCATATAAGTCTTCCCAGGTTTTTCTCAAACCATCTTGCTTGTCATTTCTTATAGCACAATAGCATTCCATCACAATCATTTACCACAAACTGTTCAACCATTCCCCAATTGATGAGCATCTCCTCAATTTCCTATTTTTTGCTACCACAAAAAGAGCTGCTATAAATATATTTGTACATATAGGTCCTTTTCCTTGATACAGATCTAAACGCAGTATCGCTAGGTCAAAGTTTTATAGCCACTTGGGTATAGCTGCAAATTGTTCTCTAGAATGGTTGGACCAGTTTACAACTCCATCAACAATGCGTTAGTCTCCCTACTTTTTCATATCCACTCTGACATCTGTCATTTTCCTTTTCAGTCATATTAGCCAATCTGATAGGTGTGAGGTGGTAACTCAGAGTTGTTTTAATTTGCATTTCTCTTATTATTAAGATTTAGAGCATTTTTCTTATGACTATATATAGCTTTGATTTCGTCTTCCAAAAACTGCCTGTTCATATCCTTTTACCATTTATCAGTTGGGGAACAGCTTTTATTTTTATAGATTTTACTCTGTTCCTTATATATATATAATATTATTTGTTAATATTTCCTAAAAGAAAAGGAGGTATTAGTAGCTCAACAAGGCCCCACTTCTCCCTCCTCAAGCTACCTACACCCCATCCCTGGACATATGGAGAACACCAACCAGTGGGATTCCAGTTCTTCTTCCCTGTGCTCTATCATTCAGCCCCAACCTTCCTGCCATTGCCCCTTCTCTCTTTCTCTTTCTGACTGAACACTGAACCCTATCCCTAAAACTGCCAGTGGATAGCTGGTGACACTAGCACAGGTCCCAGGGGAGCTCCCCAGGTGACTTCTTGTCACCATTTCAATGCTTCTGAGTCCAGTCAGCCAGTTCTGCATCCTTCTAACTGTAGTAGTGTCAAATCCACATCTCTCTATCTTCAATAATAGGAGCTAAGTTATCAAAAGGCTGGCTAAAACCCATTCTAGGTAAACAACATGCAAGTATTGCTATCATTCGCTAATTTAGTAATCCCATCAGAAAAGGAAATTAGGTTATTCTAGCATAGGAGTGGGGAAACAGCTGCCTAAAGGTCACATGTGGCCCTCTAGGTCCTCAAGTGCAGCTCTTTGACTGAATCCAAACTTCACAGAAAAAGATTCCCCACCCCTGGCATGATCTGTTCTTAATAAAGCCATGCTGGCTCTTTGTGGTTATTGCTTCCTTTTCTAGATGTGCATTGAGCATCCCTTTAATGATCTTCCCTAGAATTTTTCCAGGAATCAAAATCAACCCAACTGGTCTATAGTTTGCAGACTCTATTCTCTTTTCTCCTTTTGGAAATCAAGATTTTTTTATTAATTTATTTTGATTTATCAACAATCACTTCCATAAGCTTTTGAGTTTTAAATTTTTCTCCCCCTCCCTCTCCTCTCCCTCCCCAAGACAGCATGCAATCTGATATAGGCTCTACATATATATTCCTATTAAACATATTTTCACATTAGTGATGTTGTAAGGAAGAACCAATAGGAGGAACCACAAGAAAGGGAAAACAAAACAAAACAGAAGAAAAAAATAGCAAATAGTATGCTTCGATCTGCATTCAAATTCCATAGTTCTTTCTTTGGATGTGGATAGCATTTTCCATCATGAGACCTTTGGAGATGTCTTAGATCCTTGCATTTCCAAGAAGAGTGAAGTCTATCAAAGTCAGTCATCGCACAATGTGGCTGTTACTGTGTACAACGTTCTCCTGGTTTTGCTTACTTCACTCAGCATCAGTCCATGCAAGTCTTTCCAGGTTTTTCTGCTCATCAGGAAATCAAGATATTTGCCCACCTCCAAGCTTATGGTGCTTTTTCAGTTTTCCAGGATCTTCCTGATATCACTGATAGTGCCTCAGCAATCCCACCTGCTGCTTCTTTCAGTCCTTGAGGATGTAGTTCATCTGGGCCAGGAGACTTGAATTCATCAACTATGCTCTTTTACTATTTCCATACTTAGCTTGGTTATCAGCTCCCTCTTCTCCGTTTTTTGTTCTGTAATTTCCAGTGACAAAATTATTCTCCTTGGCAGAGAAAACAAAATAAAAAACAAATAAATAAAAGCAATAAACTCAAAATAAAAACTGAGCAGCTAGACTGGAGCTAGGTTATAGGGGACTTTAAATGCTAAGTAGAGGGGTTTATATTTGATCTTAGAGTCAATAGGAAACCAATGGAGTTTCTTGAACAGGGGAGTGACATTGTCAGACATGTTCTTTAGGAATATCACTATGGCAGCTATGTGATAGAGTAGAGAGGGGAGAAACTTGAGGCAGGTAAACCAATTAGGAAGCTACTACAATAGTTCAGAGAAAAGGAGGTGAGGGCCTGAACTAGGGTGATAGCTATGTGAACGGAGAAGGCACAGATGTGAGGACACCTGGGAAAGGAGGCATCACTGGAATTGAGCCATGAGTGGAGGTAGGGATTCCAGAAGTAGAAGGAAGTGAAGAGGGAGAACAGTCTATGAACGAGAGGTAGGGAGGAGAGTGGGTAAAGAGAGAGGAAGGAATTGATACTCCAGGAAACCTTCCTTCCTTACAACATTAAATAATAATCATGCTCCAACAACTAGACAGAGTTACCACCTCTACCCTCTCCCAATATGTCCCTGAATCTCATAATTATGGAAACTTTTTGATACATACTATACATAAACACATATGCATATGTATATATAATATACATATATAATTATAAGTATTCTGGAAGCTGACAGTACAGACTATAGTGATCATTAGAATAGATGTATGTAGACACTAGCCGGCCCACCTATCAAATGCCTCCATGTCAGAAGTTGATCCAATTTAATCAGCGCAAATGACATTAAAGAAGAAACTTTATCATCTGCTCTGCCACTGTAGCCTAAGTATCATGGGACATTTTCTTTTATTTTTAAAAAATTTTTTTTGTTTATATTTTGAGTTCCAATTTGTCTCCCGACCTCAAATTAGAGAAAGTCAACATATGATATAGAAATATCTGTGGAACCATATGATACATACTTCCGTATATCAGTTCTTTCTCTGGAGTTGGATAGCATTTTCCTTCATAAGTCCATCTTAGCTAATGTCATGTCATTAGATCATGTCACTCAGAATACCTTAGTCATTCACCATTACTCTTTGAACAATATTGCTGTTACTGTATACAATGTTCTCTTGGTTCTGCTCATTTAGCTCTGCTTTATTTCATGCAATTTTTTTCTTATTTTTCTAAAACCAACCTGCTCATCATTTCTTATAGCACAGGAGAATTTCATCACAATCATATACCACAACTTATTCAACCATTCCTCAGGTGACGGGCATTCCTTCAATTTCCAATTTTTTGCCACTACAAAGAAAGCTGCTTTAAATATTTTAGAACATATAGATTCTTTTGCTTCTTCCCTGATCATCTTGTGAAACAGACCTAATAGTGGTATTGCTGAGTCAAAAGGTAAATACGGTTATATTACTCTTTGGGCATAAATCCAGATTGTTCTACAAAATAGTTGGATCAGTTCACAGTTCTACCAATAGTGTATTAGTGTCCCAATTTATCTGCATACCCTCCAGCATTTGTCATGTATCTTTTATTTTAGCCAATATGGTACGTATGATTTGGTATCTCAGAGTTGTTTTGATTTGCATTTCTCTAATCAATGATTTAGAACATTTTTCATATGATTATACTACAGCTTTGATTTCTTTCAAAAACTGCCTATTCATATCCTTTAACCATTTATCAGTTGGGGAATGACTCATATTATAAATTTGACTCTATTCTCTATATATTTGAAATATGAGGCCTTTATCCAAGAAACTGGTTATAAATTTTCCCCCCAATTTTCTGCATTCCTTCCAATCTTGGCTACTTTGGTTTAATTTGTACAAACCCTTTTTAATTTAATGTAATCAAAATTCTCCATTTTACATCCCACAATGCTCTATCTCTTATTTATTCATAAATTCTTCTCATCCACAAATCTGATAGGTAATATGTTCTATTCTCTAATATACTTATGATACCTCTCCATGTCTAGGTCATTTACCCATTTTGACCTTATCTTGGTAAATGGTGTAAGAGGTTGGTCTATATTTAGTTTCTGCAAAACTGCTTTCTAATTTTCCCAGCAATTTTTACCAAATAGTGAGTTCTTATCCCAAAAGCTTAGATCTTTGTATTTATCAAATATGAGGTTATTATAGTAATTTATTACTGTGTATTATATACATCCTCTATTACGCTGATTCACCATTCTATTTCTTAGCCAGTACCAGACAATTTTGATAATTACTACTTTATTCATTACCAGTTTAAAATCTGATACTTCAAGACCTCCTTCCCTTACATTTTTTTCATTAATTTCTTTGATATTCTTGATCTTTTCTTCTTCCAAATGAATTTTGTTATTTTTTTCTAGCTCAAAATAAAATTTTTGTAGTTTAATTGGGATGGCTATGAACAAGTACTTTAGGTAGAATTGTCATTTTTATTGTATTGGCTCAGCCTACCCATGAACGATTAACATTTTCTCCAATTATTTAAATCTGACATTATTTGTATAAAAAGTGATTTTTATAAGTATGTTCATGTAGTTCCTGGGTTTATCTTGGCAGGTGTACTACCACGTATTTTATATGGTCAATAGTTATTTTAAATGAAATATCTCTTACTATCTTTTCTTGCAGGTCTTTGTTGGTAACATATAGAAATACTGATGATTTATGTGGGTTTATTTTATGTCCTGCTCCTTTGCTAAAAATTAGTGTTTCAACTAAATTTTTAGTTGAATCTAGGATTTTGCAAGTATACTGTCCTATCGTCAGTAGAAAAAGATAGTTTTATTTCCTCATTACCCATTCTGATTCCTTCAATTTCTTTTTCTTCTTTTATTGCTATTATTGCCAGCATTTCTAGTCCAACGTTGAAAAATAGTGGTGATAATGGGTATCCTGAGGCTTCTTACCTGGTTTCCATCCATCAGTGAGCTAAGTGCTAGCTGATGATGCCCCCTGCTGTCAGACTCAACTCTTCAGGCACTAGAAGAGGGATTCTAATTGGCCAAAGTTAAAAATAACATTCTCACAACTCCTGGCTCAATAGATAGCCTCTTACAGGAAGGGCCTTCCTGGTGAAATGAGAACTGGAGTGAGTCACAGAATGCCCCTCTGCCTCCGCCCTGCTTCCCTAGGCAAACAGCTCTAGCCATACTAAATCGGGTAACAGACAAAACATCAATGTAATACAACCTAATCACATTCAATAAGCACTAAGTAGGTGTAAACCACTGCTAATTAAGTACTAGAAATACAAAAACCAAAGGAAAAATAATCCCTGCCCTCAGGGGGCTTACAATTTACTAGGATGATACAACTACAAACTGATAAGTACCTAGCTTGTCCCCCTACCTACTTTTCCAATCTTCTTACACCCACTCTTCTCCCCTTCCCTCAAGTCCACCCATTTCCCAACTACAAGCATTTTCACTGCCTGTCCTCCATACCCGGAATTCTCCCTCTTCATCTGCCATCTCCTGGCTCCCTTGAGTCTTAGCTAAAGTCTCACCTTCTGCAAGACTTTTTTGGTCTCCTTTAATGCTACTGACTCCCCTCTGTTGATTATCTCCAATTTATCTTGTCCATATCTTGTTTCTACACAGTTGTTTACATGCTGTCTCCTCCATTAGACTGTGAACTTCTTGAACACAAGAACTCTTGGTGAGGGAGTTTTTCCAAGTCTTTTGTTGTGGTTGTCCCCAGCACCGTGCCTGTACCGTGCCTGACACACAGTAAGCTCTTAATGCTTACTGATTGGCTCACTGATTTAACATGGGGACAGGGTTGAGTACTCGACTTAGAGTCAGGAAGTGTTGAGCTTAAATCTCAGCTTAAACATTTACTAGCTATGTGACCGTGGTTGTTGCTGTTGTTGTTTGTCCTTCCTTCTCGAAGAGGACCACGACATCAGGAAGATGACGTCATGACTTGCACATGAATTGGATTGAAGTGAGGGAGGGTTGTGCGAGGTCACCAGCCTCACTCACTCTCCTCCCAAGCCATTTGGGTCCAGTGGCAATATACACATTAGGACGACTGGAGGTGGCCCTGAGTGTAACCATGAAAGGACTCAATCAATCAATAATCATATATTAAGTGCCTACTATGTGCCAGGCACTATATAACATTTTCATTGTTGTTCAATCGTGTCTTTGTAACCATTTGGATTTTTCTTGACAAAGATACTGAGTGGTTTGCCATTTTCTTCTCCCTCTCTTTTTCGAGATAGGGAAACCGAGGCAAACAGAGTTAAGTGACTTGCCCAGGGTCACACAGCTAATAAGTGTCTTAGGTCAGATTGGTACTCAGGAAGAGCAGTCTTCCTGACTTTGGGCCCAGTACTTTGTTCATTATGGCACCACCTAGCTGCCCCACTATAATAAGCACTGAGGAATCAAAGAAAAGACAAAAGTTCTTTTCTTCAAAGATTATTATATTCTAATGAGAGAGAGAACAAGTAAATCCTTAGGTATATTCAAGATATATACAGAGCCGATGGAGGGCAGTCTGAAAGGGGAAGGTAGTAGCAGCTGGTGGCGTTGGGAAAGGCCTCAGCAGAAGGTAAGATTCGAGTTAAATCCTGTAGAATAAGTCTGATGGGCCGCCTGGAGAGGAATGAAGCATGGTGGAGGTCCGGCTGGGTGAGCTGGTCACTGCTGAACTGTCCCTTTAAGAGTCTTGATCACAGATGGTGATTTTTGCCTGTTCCTCCCCCCTGGAGGGTTCATGCTATCTAAACATTATCTATCTTTAAAGTTTCTTTTAAGTAAATATCCCTTGGTAAAAAGCTAATTGATGTTAATTAGTTGACTAATGTTGAGACAGTAATTGAGAACTGATGTTGGGAGGAAGATGCTGGATGGAGACTTAACAGCTATAGTATTTTTTTTTTTTTGAGGCAATCATGGTTAAGTGATTTGTCCAGGGTCATACAGCTAGTAAGTATCTGAGGCTGGCTTTGAACTGAGGTCCTTCTGACTACAGGGCCAGTGCTCTATCCACCTAGCTGCCCCTACAACCTTTTTTTTTTTTTTTTGGAGGCAATGGAGTTAGTGATTTGCCCAGAGTCACCCAGCTACCCAGCTAGTAAGTGTCTGAGGCTGGTTTTGAACTCATGTGCTCCTGACTCTAGGACCAAGGCTCTATCCACTGCAACACCTAGCTGCCCAAGCTATAGTATTAAAGACTGACAACTCCCAATCCTTTAGGGTTACAACTAGAACTCTGAAGGGAAGAGTAGCCTTGCTCTGAGGACTCCGATCAGCTAGCCAGAGGATAGATTGAAAGAGTTTATATGTGCCACATGAACTTCAAATGATTTTCCCTGAAGCTCAGTAGGGTAGGAGAGTAAAGAGACAGATGATTTAAGAAAAAAAATCTTAGGACAGCTGGGTGGTGCAATGGATAGAGTTGGCTGGTTGTCCTTTGTTCTCGAAGGGCACCAAAATGACATCACTATGCCAGAGTCAAGTTTCAGTGTGTCCCACTGTGGCTGATCAGACCAATACAAACTCAGAATGTTCTACTACAGGTCGGGCACAAATAGTCCACGTGAACTTTTGGGGTGGATTCTCTAAATTTACACATCTTGTGTTTCTCTTGAGCTATTTCAATTCTGCTTTGCTCACAGAGGACAGCTCCTCCTCTGATGTGGGGCACGCCATGCTGAGCAGTCCTGTACCAGTGTCTTCCATACCGCACAATCAATTCCAAAGTCCTTGAGAGAGACCTTGAGAGTGTCTCACTTGTATCGCTTCTTCTGACCACCATGTGAATGCTTGCTCTATGTGAGTTCTCCATAAAATAGTCTTTTTGACAAGTGTACATATTGCATTTGTTGGTTTTTTGTTTGTTTGTTTTTGTTAGGCAATGGGGTTAAGTGACTTTGCCCAGGGTCACACAGCTAGTAAGTGTTATGTGTCTGAGGTCGGATTTGAACTCAGGTCCTCCTGAATCCAGGGCCGGTACTCTATCCATTGTACCACCTAGCTGCCCCATACATACTGCATTTGAACAACGTGGCCAGCCCATCAGAGTTTCATTGTCTGAGGTGGAGTTTGAATGCTTGGCAGTTTGGTTTGAGAAAGGACCTCAGTGTCTGGTATGTTACCCTGCCAGGCGATCTTCATAATCTTCCCAAGACAATTCAAATGGAAGCGATTCAGTTTCCTGGCAGCCACTGGTATACAGTCCAGTTTTCACAGTCCTACAACAATGAGGTCAGCACAACAGCTCTGTAGACCTTCAGTTTGGTAGTCAGTTTAATACCTCTTCTCTCCCATGCTTTCCTTCGGAGCCTCTCAAATACTGAACTAGCTCTGGCATTGGGTGTCAACCTCATCATCATCCCTGGAAAGTACACTACCAAGGTAAGTGAACTTATACACAGCATTCAAAACTCCATTTGCTGTAACCGATAGTTCCATATATGGATGGTGTGGTGGTGGCTGATGAGCTCCTGTGTTTTCTTGGTGTTAATTGTTCAGCCAAAATTAGCACAAGCAGCAGAGAATTAATCCATACGTTGTTGCATCTCAGCTTCAGGGGCTGCATTGAGTGCGTAATCATCTGCAAACAGAAAATCATACACTAACACTCCCTCCACTTTAGTCTTGACTCATAACCTTTTCAAGTTGAAGAATTTAACATCAGTGATTTAACTGATTAAGAATTTAACATCAGTTGACCTGGATGCCATGTTCATCCTCATTGAAAGCATTTGACAACATGGCTGAAAACATCATGCAAAAAAGCATGGGAGCAAGCACACAGCCTTGCTTCACTCCACTGGTGACTGGGAAAGCACAAGAGCGTTGTCCATTATCCAGAACTCAGGCAAGCTTGCTGTTAAGAAATTGATGTACAATGTTGATGAACTTCTCCAGGCAACCAAATTTTGACACAATTTTCCATAAGCTCTCACAACTGGCTTATGGAAAGTATCAAAGGCCTTGGTCAGATCTACAAACATTGCATATAGACCTCTGTTCTGCTTCTGGCATTTCTCCTGGAGTTGTCAGGCTGTAAACACCATATCGACTATTCCTGGGTGCTTTCTGAAGCCATGTTGGCTCTCAGGTAGATGACCATCTTCCAGGTGAAGGATTAGCCTATGAAGGAGGATTTGGGCAAGAATCTTGCCAGCATTGACTAAGAGAGAGATCTCCCTTATGATTGTCACAGGACAATCTATTTCCTTTACCTTTATAGAGATGAACAATGGAGTCATCTTTAAACTCCTGGGGGGATAACCTCCTCTTGTCATTTATTTGAGTAATAGATCCCCTACCTTGTAAATCTCAGCTGGAATAGAATTAGCATCAGATGTTTTACCACAAAATTTCATCTTCAGTTGGAACTTCAGCTAGGGACAGATTGACTTCAACCTAAGGTAAAGGGTCAATGGCTTCAGCATTTATTGATGATGGTCTGTTGAGAACACTATGGAAGTGTTCAGCCTATCTCTCTAGGATCATGTCCTTATCACTAATCAATGTGGCTCCGTAAGCACTGAGTAGTTGAGATGCACCATAGGTCTTTGGACCATAAATAGCCTTCAGGGCATCATAAAAGTTCTTTGGATTGTTACTATCAGCATAAAACTGAATTTCATCTGCCTTCTTACTGAGCCAAGAATCCTGCATCTCTCTAAGCTTTGCTTGTATCTTACTTTTGATGGAGTTAAACGCTGCCTTCTTAGAGATGGATGAACTATTCCTGCTGGTAAACTTTGTGAAGTTCTCATTTTTTTATTTAGCAGCTTCTGAATTTCCCCATCATTTTCATCAAACCAGTCTTGGTGTTTGCAGAGTGTTCTGACCCAGATGAGCAAATGCAGCACTGTACACCATGTCTCTGAAAGCTGCCCACTCCTTTTCTACTCTACTGTTGGCAACTGTGTGCTGGCTCACCTTTCCCTCCAAGTTAGCAGCAAACCATTCCTGCTCAGAGAAGAGCTCTACTCTGTCGACATTAATTCTTCTGGTAGTCACTTTGCCTTGGGGACGCCGCTTTTGTTGAATGCAAGAATTTAGCGGGTAGAACACTGGACATAGAGTCAGGAAGACTGGAATTCAAATCCAACCTCAGACACTCCAGCTGTGTGACCCTGGGATAGTTGCTTCATCCCTTAGCATCAGTTTCTTCATCTGTAAAGATGAAGGGGATAATAATAGCATTTACCTCCCAAGCTATTGTGAGGATCAAATGAGATATATTTGTAAAGCACTTTGCAAATCTCAAAAACATTCTAGAAATGATAGCTATTATAAGGGATCACCGGAGCCCAGAGTCCCAGGTTCCTTCTAGCCTTCACAGCTTCTGTTACTAGCCTCAAGGAGCAAGAAGTCTCCACTGCTTATCACCCTGTTATATGGTTTCTCCCTACTGGCTGCCCCATTGAATAGAGTATGGGAAATCCTTTCAATCTGAGCAATCAACACTCTGCATTTCATGCCAGCTCACAGGCAATCCAGAGTGTACCCTCACACATTTTGATTGTACTAGGAAAATGAGTAAGATGCCTGTTAAGAGCTACTTTGTG